AAAAATTTGGTATTTTTTTTCCAAAACTCTGTTTTTTGTTTACATTTTGTGGTATTTACATCTCGTGTTTTTTGTATATTTACAGTATATTTTCTAGTTTAATGTAATCTTTTTTTTTGTACGTGTCAAAATCAAACCATTTTGATGAACTAAGGTTGGGAAATATATACAATATATAAACATTACATATACAGCTTTGAAAACACCTATAGAGTTGCAATCCGGTATATTGTAAGTATATCATTCATGCACATATACATAACATAATCGTGTTATATACTTAATATGTACTCGTATAATTTGTTATAATCAATGTATAAACAGTGAAATATTCAGATTAGTATGGATGAACGTTGAAAAACATCATGACCAATAAATTATGAATAAACATTAAATAAACATTGAAACAAATTATAAGATGAATCTATAAAATCTTTTAATATACAAAATATAAAATGTCTATAGACTGAAAATATACTGTCTATATACTCAACAAACATATAATGTCTATTCTACAGTTTTGATATCAATGTTTGCATCTTTTTTCTTTCTCACAAGCAAATTATCGTACGGAAACATATACTAAATATATACTACATATAAACGCAACATATACTGTAGACAACACAAAAAGCATGAACTTTTGTCTCGTCTTCGTCATCTCCAACTTGATCTCCCCGCTGAGAAGGAAGAGGGAATGGATGCATTGCCGCCGATGTCCATGGTTGTCTCTTCAAATCCTCCAGATGCTCTTCATTGTTTTCATCACTCTTAATTTCATCTCCTTTGCTTTCTGTTTCGTCTTTAAAATCGGAATCCCATGACTCGCCTTTTTCTGCAATTTTAGTTCTTTTTTATTGTCACGTTGCCAGATGTTTTTTTTTGAAAGTTGAGAACTGGTGGACAGTTGATGAGTTGTGAGAGAGAATGTTATTGTTTGTTATGTTTTTGTGCTTATTTTTATGTGTTTATATGTGTGTTCGAGTCGATTTTAGGTTCGTTTTAGTGTCGACCGGTCCATTTTGTCGCATTTTGTGTGATTTTATGTTTTTCGTTTCATTTTATATTTCGGCGTACTTTTCCATGCTCTTGGTATATTTTCAGGATTTTCCCGAGGGTTAAAGACAAGTCAAAATGAATTCCAAGAGACGAGCATTTTCGAGTCATTCGTACGAACAACTTTTGGTCAAGTATATCGAGCCTTAGTGTTGTAGCAAATTATTTTTATTTTTACTGAGTACCGTGTAACAACAAATTTCGTGTATTCAATTTTAAAAAACACGAAAATATTATTGAAATGAATTTCTTGAATTAAAATAAATATTGCGGGTTACAATCTCTATTTTCTCCTCTGATTCTTCTCACAAACAATTTTTAAGTCTTGGAGCGAAATCTTCGGCTTGATCTTCTCCTTGACTTGATTTGACTTGAATTAACGTAATCTGAGGGCTTGAAAGCTTTTTTTCGGATCAAACGTCAAAATATCCCAAGAACGCGAAGAACACGAATTCTTGGTCTTCGCCGCAAAGTAGATCTCGAATCTTCTTCACGTCGGTTTT